ATGGCGAAAAGATTAGGTAAGAGAAAAATTGATTCAGAATGCAGGGCATTTAACCTGCAGTGGACAAACGATTATTTTTTTGTTCAATGCAAAGAAAAGGCTGTCTGTCTCATCTGTCAAGAGGCGGTGGCGGTATTCAAAGAATACAATCTGCGGCGACACTATGAATCCCGTCACAAAGACAAGTATGATAGCTTGCAAGGCCAAATGCGAGCAGACAAACTCTCAAAGCTAAAAAGTGGACTGTTAGCTCAGCAGAATACATTTGTACGCCAATTTCAGCTGAACCAGTCATCTGTTCGGGCCAGCTTTCGGGTTGCTCAACTGATAGCAAGCAGCGGTAAACCTTTCACTGATGGAGAGTTTGTCAAGAAATGCATGAACGCTGTCGCGGAGGAGGTGTGTCCCGAGAAGAAAGATGTCTTTAATGCCGTGAGTCTATCAGCGAGTACAATCACCAGACGCATTGAAGAAATCGGGGGTAACGTATATGCCCAGCTGCAGCAGAAGACGAAAGAATTTGAATATTTTTTTTTCATTAGCACTGGATGAGAGCACAGACGTGCAGGACTCCGCGCAGCTGCTCATTTTTATTCGTGGAGTTAGTGCAAACTTTGAGATGTGCGAGGAGCTGGCAGCCCTCCAAAGTCTGAAAGGGACTACGACGGGGGAGGATATTTTCGGCAAAGTGTACCAAACCATGGAAGAGTTGGACCTGGACTGGTCAAAGCTGGCCAGCATCACAACTGACGGGGCTTCTAGTAAGGTGGGCATGTCTCGGGGTCTAATAGGACGCATGAACCGGGAGATGGAAGAACGGGGTCTCACCGCCCCGCTACAAGTCCACTGCCTAATTCACCAGCAAGCACTGTGCTGCAAAGTGTTGACGTGGGATTCTGTCATGAAGGTTGTGGTGTCATGCATAAACTTCATCAGAGCAAAGGGACTTAAACACAGGCAGTTCCAAGAATTCCTGTCTGAACTGGAATCTGCGCACGGAGATGTGCTGTACTGCACAGAGGTCCGATGGTTGAGCCGGGGCAGAGTTTTGAGGCGTTTTTACGAGCTGCTACTTGAAATTAACGCATTTCTTCATTCACAAAACAAAACGGTGCCAGAGCTGATTGACCCAGAATGGAAATGGCACTCGCATTTTTAACAGACATGACAGAAATGCTGAACAGCTTTAACTTGCAACTACAAGGCCAGGGGAAACTCATTTGCGACATGTATTCCCACATAAAAGCATTTGAGGTGAAACTAGAAATGCTTTTGGGACAAGTGAAAAAGCACAGCTTCATCCATCTCCCTGCTACACAAAACCTCTCTGCAGAGAACCCAGCGGTCTCGTTTCCAGCTGAAAAGTGTGTGGAAGCACTGGAAATGCTGAAGGCGGAGTTCGGTGTGCGATTCCGTGAACTACATGTTTATGCAAAAGAAATCCGTCTTTTCCAGAACCCATTTGTTGCCGACATTGATGAAGCCCAGCCTTCTTATCAGTTTGAGTTGGCCGAGTTACAGAACTGTGATGTTCTGAAAGACGCATTCAAGCCCAACAGTCTCACTGACTTCTATGCCGCCCTCCCAAACGACACGTACCCTAACATCAGAAAACACGCAATGAAGATGTCAACACTTTTTGGCAGCACGTATATCTGCGAGCAAACCTTTTCACGCATGAAACTGCTGAAAACTCCAATGAGATCAAGATTGACAGATGAACATCTGCATCAGTGTTTGAGACTGGCAGCGCCTAGAATGGAACCTGACATTCAACTTCTCACCAGCCAGATGCAGGCCCACAGTTCACACTGATGAACATACAAAGGTAAGCTCACTTTTCTGACTTGAATGAGTCATTCTGAGTATAAACAAATATTATCATAATAAAATCTACTGGGATAAAATCCATCTCCACAACTATACTGTTAGTGGTACTGGTTGTGCTGTGTAGGTGCTGTATCACTTCGTTCAGTTTCTCAGCCTGCTTGCTTTGTGGTTTTCACAGGGAAGTTGATGAGAGAGAGAGAGAGCTGCAAACATCGATGTCTACAAGCCTACTGGAACCTACAAAAGGATTATAAGGAAGGAACACAAGAACTTTGAGAGACTGCTCATATGAGTCATTTAAGTAAGAGATTCTGCTCTGACAACTAAGCTGAACTTGGACCTGTTAAGACTGTGCACGGCACAACAGAAAGTTTATGTTCCATGGACTTTTTTTCTGTGAAGAACCCACAGAGTTTTATTTGGTTATTATTTATTTCATAAATAGTGTTATTTATTTCCTGGTTTTTTCTGTGAAGAACCCAGAGAGGGTTATTTGGTTATTATTTATTTCATAAATAGTGTTATTTATTTCCTGGCTTTTTCTGTGAAGAACCCAGAGAGGGTTATTTGGTTATTATTTATTTCATTAATAGTGTTATTATTTATTTTCTGACTTTTGTTCTGTGAAGAATCCAGAAAGGGTTATTTGATTGTGGCTTTCTCTTTCTTTTACATTTAGGCACTCCTGCAATCGTCACACACACTATAAAAATAAACTTAATTTTTATTAAATTTAATACATATATATATATATATATATAAGTATATATAATATATATAATATATATATATATATATATAATATATTATATATATATATTTATATATATTTATAGCTATAATATATATATTAATATGTATATATATATATATTATTTATATTATTTATATATTATATATATATTATATATATATATATACTATATATATTATATATTATATATATATATATATTATATATATTATTATGTATATTATATATATAGGCAAAATATATATACATATATATACATTTATATATATATATATATATATATATATATATTATATATATATATATATATATATATATATATAATATATATATATATATATATATATATTATATATATGTATATATATATACTATATATATATATATATATATATTATATATATATATATATTATATATATATATATATATAATATATATATATATATATATATATATATATATATATATATATATATATATATAATATATATTATATATATATATATATATATATATATATAATATATATAATATATATATATATATATATATATATATATATATATATATATATATATATATATATATATATATATATATCTATATATATATATATATATATGTATATTATATATATATGTATATATAATGTATATATATATATATATATATATATATATATATATATATATANACAACACATAAAATAAAAACTGTTCTTATTATAAAACTAACACTCCTGAATTCAACTTAAACAAAGACAAGGAAGTAATGTGGTCGGGACACGGAGGTGGGAAAAAATAAAAACCAAACACCATAAAAAAAAACAATAATAAACTTCGGACAAATCGCATCAAAAAAATATTTAATTCTGCCAGTGAACCCGTTCCCCAAAAACCCTCGACATTTCTTATCATTATTTCTAATTTCATCATTTTTAATTGAAAAAGAATTAAACCAGAACCATCTCTAGGCAGGAAAACCCAAAACGAAAAAAGAAGATATAATTAAAGAAAAAATAAAAAACAAAACGAGGAGACAGAAAGAATACAACAGAAGGAAAAGTAAATAATAGAGAAAACAAAAAGGATTTAAACGGAAAAAATACAGCTAACAGAGAAAAGAGAAAAGGAAAACGAGAAAGAAATTTGAAAAAAAATACAGCAACAGAAAAAAGAATAAAAGAAATAAAAAGAATATAAAAAGAGAGACAGAAAAATACAGCAACAGAGAAAATAATAAGAAAAAAACAAGAAGATTGAAGAAAAAAATACAGTAACAGAAAAAAGAAAAAAAAGAAGAAAAAAATACAAAGAGAGACAAAAAAAATAAAACAGAGAAAAGAATAGAAAAAAATAAAATAAAAAATAAAAGATAGACAGAAAAAATACAGCAACAGAAAAAAGAATGAGAGAAAACAAGAAGATTGCAGAAAAGTGCAAGGCCACAAGAGCCCCTCATGCAGATGATGTTGGGTGACGGTTCCTCGCGGTTCTAAGCCCCGCACGCAGGTATGGACCCGGCGGCGAAAGAAGCCACATTGTTTCCCTTCTTTTTGTCTTTTTTCTTTTTTTTTTTTGGGGGGGGGAGGGTTTCTGTTTTTATCTTCTTTTTTTCGTTTTTTTTTTGGGGGGGGGCTTTCTTTTTTTGAGGGGGGTGGGTTTCTGTTTTATTTTATTTTATTATTTTTATTCTTTTTTTTTTGGGGGGGGCTTTCTTTTTTGAAGGGGGTAGGCTTTTTGTTTTTATCTTTTGTTCTTTTTTTTTTTTCTTTTTTTTTTTGCTTTTCTTTTTTAGGGGAGGCTTTTTGTTTTTATTTAATTTCATCTTATTTTATTTTTGTTTGTTCTCGCCTTTCGTTTTTTTTCCGTCTGTGTGTGTGACCGCAGGGGGGTCGGAGGTGAAGGATAGGGCGGGGGGAGGCAAGAAGGAAGACGAGGGGGAGGTGAAGGGGGGGAGTAAGGTAGGGGAGGAGAGGGGGGGAGGAAGCTTGGGCAAGAGGGAAGAGAAAAGAAGAGGTGAAAGGAGGGGGGGGAAGGGTAAGGGGAGGAGGGTGAGGAGGCGTTGACAGGAAGGATGAGCAAGGGAAGAATAGGGGGGGGGGCAGAGAGCAAGGAAAGGGTAGGAGGGGGGCGAGAGGGGAGCAAAGAAGTAGGGGGGATGAAGGAGGAAAGCGGTGGCAAAAGGGAAGAGGTGAAGGAGGGGAGGGAGGAGGAGGAGGAAAGGGTAGAGGAGAGGGAGGAGGCGGTGGCAAAAGGGAAGAGGTGAAGGAGGGAGGGAGAGGAGGAAGGGAAGGGGGGGGCGGTAGCGTGTGACAGGGCACGCCATGGATTCATTTGTCACACCAAAAAGTCTGCCGATTTAGTCTAATATTCGACTTCTCTCTCGCTCGTTTTTTTGCTCTCTCTGTCTAT